TGTCACTCCATACATTAAATTTAACTCGGTAAAAAGACGAAATGCCAAGTCCGATTTTGAAAAAGACTTCTTTAAACTTGCTAACAATTCAATTTATGGTAAGTTTATCGAGAGTCTGAGAAATCGTACTAATGTTGACATTGTAAAAGATGAAAGATCTGCAAAGCGCCTCACTTCTAAGCCGCAGTTTATTGGATTTCACATGCTGGATGAGCAAACTACTGTTGTACAGTCTGTGAAGCGGAACTTAGTACTAAACAAACCCATTGCTTGCGGATTTATCGTTTTGGAAAATGCCAAACATATCATGGGAGAGTTCTGGTATGACGTCCTAAAGCCGAAATATGGTGAAAGAATAAAACTCATCCTAAGTGACACGGATAGCTTCATTTATGGTGTGTTTGCAGAGAATGGGTACGAAGATCTATACAGTATACGTGAACTTATGGATCTATCAGGTTACGTTGAGAATACCCCACTGTCGAGATTTAATGACCCCACCAACAAAAAAGTGCCTGGGAAGTTTTCAGACGAGAAACCGACTGAAATAATTAGTGAGGTTATTGCTCTGAAGCCTAAAATGTACTCTGTCATGACAAAGAAGCTTGTAACCAGGTGCAGTGAACAACATGAATGCACTTCATCTTGTTTCATTGGACATTCTGTCACAGCCAAAGGGATAGCTAAAGCTGCTCAAAGACGGATCCGACATGAAGATTACAGAAACGTATTAGATACTCAGTCAACAACGATGACAAAGTCACAAACAATTCGCGTTTTTGGAAACAAGATTTTTAGTGTTGTAGTACAAAAACGAGGACTTTCTGGTTTTGACGATAAAAAATTTATTTTAGACGATGGTATTAGTACTTTGAGTTATGGACACAAAAATTTGTAAGTATTAAATGAATGTTGTTTTTATTAAGAATAGGATCAATGTTTACCTATTAAACTTTATTTAGAGTAATTGACACTTATTTGCGATAGTTATTGAAAAATTGTGAGTAAACGAAATTTTGATTAACTATATTGCATGCTAGACTTGAATAATGCTTATTTTGTGGTGATATATTGTATCGATTTTACTTTGTTCAATATTCTTTTTAATTTATTCTAAAACAATATTTGTGTTTTAGTCGTAACTGTCCCGATAAAAAAAGATAAAAAATGCTATAGCTAAAAAGTTGCGAGAAAAATATGACAAAAAAACAGAAATATTAGTAAACTACAGAAAATAAACATAAAAAGTCATAGGTATGTGTAGCGGTTGCACTTTAAATTGTTTACTCAAGTAAATAATAAAACAAGCTAAAAAATAAGGCATGCCATAAAAGTAACAGTATATATATACACACACACACACATGCGCACACACATACACCCACACAAACACACACACGCACACACACACACATACACACACACACACACACACACTCTCTCTCCCCCCCCCCCCCTCTTGTCGAAACTGGTACCTCACTTTTAGGTGATACAGCGGTACTATATTACATACTACTCAAGTAGTATATGATGCATTTTTCAATAGCCATTTTGGGAAAAAGTGGGGCACACATAATGAAAGTAAGCATATTACGTAATGTTACCGGCGGCGTCCTTGTAACTTGTGTGATATCATGTTCCATGTGGAAGCTATATTGGATGTAACTTGATTATTATGTCATGTTCATTGCTCACAGTACTTTTGTGATCTTATCGTGTCTCGATCTTACCAGATTAGAGCGGGCCACAGTTAAGTTATAATGTGCCATTATTAATGACGGGTATTATTATTAATGACGGGGATTATTATTAATAATGGGTATTATTAATAATGACGGGTATTATTAATAATGACGGGTATTATTAATAATGACGGGTATTATTATCAATGACGGGTATTATTATTAAGACGGGTATCATTATTAATGACGGGTATTATTATTATTAATGACGGTATCATTATTATTAATAATGACGGGTATTATTATTAATGACGGGTATTATTATTAATGACGGGTATTATTATTAATGACGGTATTATTAATAATGACGGGTATTATTATCAATGACGGGTATTATTATTAAGACGGGTATTATTATTAATGACGAATATTATTATTAATGACGGATATTATTATTAATGACGGGTATTATTATTAATGACAGGTATTATTATTAATGAATGGTATTATTATTATTAATGACGGGTATTATTATTATTAATGACGGGTATTATTATTAATGACGGTATTGTTAATAATGACGGTATTGTTAATAATGACGGTATTGTTAATAATGACGGGTATTTTTATAAATGACGGGTATTATTATTATTAATGACGGTATCATTATTATTAATAATGACGGGTATTATTATTAATGACGGGTATCATTATTAATGACGGTATTGTTAATAATGACGGGTATTGTTAATAATGACGGGTATTATTGTTAATGACGGGTATTATTGTTAATAATGACGGGTATTATTGTTAATGACGGGTATTATTATTTTTAGTGACGGGTATTATTATTATTATTATTTGTGACTTGTACAATAATACCCGCCATTAATAATAATAATACCCGTCATTAACAATAATACCCGTCATTATTAACAATACCCGTCATTATTAACAATACCGTCATTAATAATGATACCCGTCATTAATAATAATACCCGTCATTATTAATAATAATGATACCGTCATTAATAATAATAATACCCGTCATTTATAAAAATACCCGTCATTATTAACAATACCGTCATTATTAACAATACCGTCATTATTAACAATACCGTCATTAATAATAATACCCGTCATTAATAATAATAATACCCGTCATTAATAATAATAATACCTGTCATTAATAATAATACCCGTCATTAATAATAATATCCGTCATTAATAATAATATTCGTCATTAATAATAATACCCGTCTTAATAATAATACCCGTCATTGATAATAATACCCGTCATTATTAATAATACCGTCATTAATAATAATACCCGTCATAAATAATAATAATACCCGTCATTAATAATAATACCCGTCATTAATAATAATACCCGTCATTATTAATAATAATGATACCGTCATTAATAATAATAATACCCGTCATTAATAATGATACCCGTCTTAATAATAATACCCGTCATTGATAATAATACCCGTCATTATTAATAATACCCGTCATTATTAATAATACCCGTCATTATTAATAATACCCATTATTAATAATAATCCCCGTCATTAATAATAATACCCGTCATTAATAATGGCACATTATAACTTAACTGTGGCCCGCTCTAATCTGGTAAGATCGAGACACGATAAGATCACAAAAGTACTGTGAGCAATGAACATGACATAATAATCAAGTTACATCCAATATAGCTTCCACATGGAACATGATATCACACAAGTTACAAGGACGCCGCCGGTAACATTACGTAATATGCTTACTTTCATTATGTGTGCCCCACTTTTTCCCAAAATGGCTATTGAAAAATGCATCATATACTACTAATACATGTCGGTCAACTGGCTACTATAAAAAATCGCCTAGAAAATCAGAAATATTTGCCTTGTAACAGTAACCCCCGGCCATTGACCCGTGTTTGTTGCTTGTAGGTGAGTTGTTTGGTAGAAGAAGGAATCCTGGGAGCAGACGAAGAGCCGGGACCAGGAACAGCTACACTCCCAATTACTCTGTCTCCCATACAAGTCTGTAGTCTGTATAGTATAGTCTATACTCTGTAATACAAGTCTGTAGTCTTTCCAGTGATAGCAATGGCTAGCACTGTAACTCAGTACTGTAACACTAGTACTGTACCAGTAGTACTGTAACACTTAACACACCCATCTCGTAATTTTAGTAAACTAATATTTGATTAGAATCAAGTCAGACTTAAATGTCCTCCTTTGAATCATACAGAAAGGATGGTGTTTTATGACAGCGACTGGGAAATTTTTCATTAATGACAAGGAAATTTGTCGTAATATTACTGTAACCAGGGTGTAGTCAACTGCAGCCGAAGTTTGCTACATCTTCGTGTCTGGTTACAGTTAGAGAAATATATCACAAACTTTCAGCGAGTACATACTTAGATATTATGCTGTTTTTTACTGTGGTTATTTCCTTGTCATGTTTAATGAATTGAATTGGGTCCCATTGATTTCCAAAGGTAATGACAGAAATGGTATCGATACCATATCAATTATAGTTGACCATCGGTGACAATAGCGGAATTTAATGGCACCTACGGCAATGATTCTGATTGTGAACAGTAAGGACCTCTAGGATGATGCAACTCAATTGGGAAGGAGACACTACAAACAACCCTTCTGCGTGATAAAGATTCCAAAGTGCCGAGTACACATTCCGCAGCAGAACTGAATGATACCGGTAATGTGAAGCTTTACAAAGATCACCAGCCTTTGACACCTCAACCGAACAACTCTTTTACCAATTTTCTATACAAATATAATTAGTCAGGTGATGTTGTTTTTTGGAGCCCTCTTCAATGATTCGCTGTCTTGGCTCTTCTGAGCTTGCTGTTGTAGGAACTTCTCAATCCATACAAGCATGTGCAACAAATCTTTGTGTTACTTTTAAATAATACCTCTAGTAATGGGTCGCACGATGCACAGAAAAGTATGCATTGGTTTGTAAGACCCTCCGAATGTCCTCGTTATTACTTCTCCTACTAACAATATTAATTCCTTCTTCACCCTTTTTATAACTCAGAACCTTTTTTCCCCATTCTTGATTGACTCATAATTCTTAGGTTCTCCCTAACCATCCAGCCATCCGTTTTATATCCCTGCTATATTTCCCACTGTCATGATTATTCCCCTGCCCCTTCTTTAACCCTTGCCCCCTACCCCAAACAGTTCCAGAGCATGAAATCTTCCTTGTTGGACAACTGACCATTAGAAATTACCATTTTTTCCTAAAAATAACCCAACTTTGACCGTTCATGCTCGTTCGTAGGTTCTCAGATCTCACCAGGAAGCAGAAGAAGGGCAGGAATCAGAAACAAGTACACTCCATCCTACCGAGTCTCCATGACAAGTCTGTATATTAGTCTTAAGAGTGGTGGTGTGCATCTGTTCTAGCAGTCAATGTATCGACTCCTAGAAGACCATGCAATGACACTGATTCTTTGAGAGATGACCTGATAGTTTTTATAGTGGTTTTGGTTAATTTCCCTGTGATTTATGAAACGTTTCCCAGTCGCTGTCTATATTTCATTATTGGGGTCATTTGAATTCAGATTCAAGGGCAAGTAACCCTAGTAAGGGATATGGTATTAAAACTATAGTTTTACCGGTACTAAGACATTGTACCAAGAGAGTTAAAGAAGTTAGCTGAAGGAGTTACCTTACAGTATAAAATAGTTGATCAAAATTTAGCCTAGTATAACTTAGTTTAAACCATCGGTCTCATTAATCTATTCTAAAACCTGTTTGTCCCATTTTAAACGTATCATTTACATAATTAGGTTCAGTTTTAACAAATATAAGCCATGCAATTGAATCTAATTGAATACAATAAGGGATCTTGTGTTCAGTATTTCTGGTAACTTTTTATCACACTCTAATAAAATATTGTTACCCGAGTCTGATTAGAAATAACCAAACATTTGAACACAAGATCACATGATCAACACATCTAACCCAACATTTCTCACAGTCTGGTACGTGGTTATCGGAGTTGCTGTAGCGTTTGTACTGGCCCTGATTGCATCCATTGTGTATTACTGTGTCGTGGTGAGGAAGAGGAACAGGGATAAGAGGGAAGCGGAGAAGTACAAGCCCATGGGAGGAGGTTACAAGTCCAAGGCTGATCAGGACAGGGAGATGGAGGTAGGAATCTTTGGGGCCGAGTCTTTTATTTTTATTTACGTTATCATTTTTTACCAAACGGATGGCTAAAATGACAACCGACCCACTTAACTTTACAGTATTTACGTCATAACCGTTAAGTTGTCTAAATACCATATGGTAAACGCTTTGCGCTGCCGAAAAGAATATTTTATGCATAAAGCGCGAGAGGTTTAGCGTTTTAGTTTTTACGTCATACATTTGTGAAATTACTTCTATGAAATTGTCGTTACACAATTGCAGTCCAACTATTATCACTGTGAACTTTAACAGCACTCTGTATAAAGCTATCTTCTTCGACAAGGAATATATTGAAAATTCGAACACTACTCCCTTCACTACATTATTCTCTTTTCAGGAATATCTGGCGCACGTACGACCAACAAAGAGTATGGGACCTAGCTACGACCAGTTTATAGCCCGAGAACCAGCTTCAACTTGATATCGTTAGTATATCGAACATCCAGAGAGGAAAGAGGACTTGAGGATGGGTCAGATACTGTTTCGGAGATCGGGGCTTGAGTTGGCGATGTATTGGATTGTTTTTATATCAGATATCTTTTGTTTTTATCAAGAGTAATCCACTGAAGGGTCGGGATTGAAGCATTACGCTTCAATTTTGGTCCAATGGTAACGATTCATTATGGTTTCATCAGAGTTACTAAAAGATCTCCGGCATATTGGGCAGGAACATCGCAGATGGACACGAATGCTGGATCGTTCATGTTTCAGATTGTATCAAACCGGTTCATCCATTTTGGGGTTATCAATATTATCCCGCTCAATTAAGATACCTCTCGAGTAAATATATTAAAGTTAGTATGTTTACCTCTTTAACCCAAACGTCTACAGAACTTTTATTTTTTGTCTCTACCAGCTGGTTTTTAATAACTAATATGATAATTGTATGGTACATCCATTATAGCTGATATCTGGTAGAAGAACACGTTAATAAGATCTTGTTGTTTTCTGAGGAGGGCTTATTATATGTCTATTTATAGTGAAAATGTGTATACTTAAAGTATAGTATAAAAATACATGAGCACACTTCCAAATTTTTACTAAGAAGGCATCACATCAAAGTCACAGCTCTGCACTCACAAAAACGGACAAGTCATCCCTCGCCATCCCCTCAGTGTTCGGGTTAGAATCACGATTAGCTCGAGGGATGACATGAACACGAAGGCGCATATGTGTGCCGCAGCTGATGAATAAAACATATATCAAGGGTAGCACATTGTAGGCCGGAATCCTAATTTCCATCACAGTAAGGGTTATAGGTGTTCAGGAAAGAGCAAGGATCTAAGTGTTAGCTTGTACTAACGACCCCTTATAGGCTTTGAATTCAGGGGCGAACTACTACCATGTGAGATTTATGCCGAGGGATGGTGAGTCCTACCCGCGTGCACTCCGTCCGTTCTTACCCATCTCGACTTGTCGTGTTTTTATTCGCTTAGCTTGATAAGGCACGCCATTAAAGTGGACTTATTAAGAACTGGCATATTATGAGATCATCAATTTTCATAGCTAAAATTTCTGTTATCTCCGATGCAAATTCTAAATCTGCTTACTTAAGATGTTGACGCGATCGGAAAATCTGACCAAATTTCTTAATTATTTGATATGATTTAATTTTCTAAGTTAACATTTTTATCAGATTTAGGCGGTAGAAAATCACTCTCACTCGCAGAACTAGATATTTCATTTAAATTTCACCAATTATAAAAGTTTATGTTTAATGAGTGTTAAACTTAAAGTCAAAGAATTGATAAGCACCGTTAAAAATACTGCATGTGTATCCTCGCAATCGTTAACAGTGATATTCATCTATTTATTTCCATACATTTTAGTCTACTATTCGCATTAATTATATATTAAAAATATGAAATATCCGGATTTGGTTATCTAGTTAGAGTTAGTGATAGTCCTACACGGTCATGATTTTTGCTTATATTTTCATCTAATAGTAATACCGCTACTGAAATACTATCTTGTTACAAATGAAGAAGATTTGTTTTATTTTGAAAATTACAAAGGTTGTCAAGCGCACGAGTCGACTCCTAAAATTGCTGTAATTTAGTAATTAGATATCTAACTAGGACAAACCTAAGAAATTTTTTATCTGAACCCATGCACCCTTCAAACTCTATACTTATATAGTTATCAGCATTGATGGATCATGTATTACAGAAATTTGGAAGGTGGTTTGTAAAATCAAACATAAGCTTTCTTCTTTTCATCCTTTGCGGATTTTTTACAGTTGTATTTATCCGCTTCCTTTTGTGAATCAGTATAATGTGTAATGGGGGTGCCCGTGCAGTTAAACTAATGAAATGTTTGTTTGACTGAAGCCCCTTATCGTGCCTAATTCGCAAGTCGACTATTTCATTTAACTCGTACAGACATATATTTGTACAGTATTCCTCCTCTATCACGAGCCCCTGTACTAGTACAACGTGGTGTTTGTTTGGACAAACATTTTTATTTGGACTGTACATTTAGAACTTTCTTTCTTTACCTGCTTACGCTTAATCTTTCATCCCCAAAGATCGTGTTGAAGACTGTAGGGAGGATTTGGGATCAGGAATACTGTATGCAGTTATGTCTTCATCATACATAGAATTATTCATTGCACAGTTGGAGAGTTGAGCTAAATTATGTTACAAATTCTTAGATTTCAACGCATTTTGGTAATATAATGGTTATTTGCGATTAAGTTATAAATACATACTGGGCGGTGTTGAGCCTGTCACAGGTCATTCCGCCATATTTTCCATCGGTGTGTTTCTGAACATTTAAGCCTGAGATCCCCAAATAAAGTTATAACTTACACCATCAACTCGAATTGAAGTAAACAATAGGCATGATTCTGTAGAAAATGAAATCTTTTACAGTTAAGACTTAAGACTTAAGCTGTAGTGGAGTGTTTGATGAGACAATCAACTCAATTATGACAGTACTAGTAAAACTAAAGTAGTAATAAGATTGTTCTGTTTGTTGTTCTGCGTGACGGCGTGACGCCTGCCATTTATCATCTCATCATGAATTGCTGATAAAACACTGTGCATCTTTTACTTTCTCACTAAAACCGCTCCGTGAACCAGTCGATATTGTAGTTGCGATATTCCTCGAACCATTCACTGAAATCTAATTAGCAAATAAGATGGCAGAAAATTGAAAAGTTTGCTGAATCAGCTTATAGCCATTACCTGCTTTATCTGAATTGGAATGATGGATCCTCCAGTCGGACTTGTCGAGCATGCAGTTCAACCATCGAAGTTTAACCATATTATACTTTTAGTAACGTTGAAAGTTGTTACATCAACGATATATCTGATTATTTGCTGGTGTATCCTCCACATGTATCGCCATCTCGGGACATTGGGAGATTAGGTATAGTGGCCGTACATAGTACGTGGCCAAACCAAATCTCCCAATTGCCCGCCATCTCTCTGGACGAAAACCGAGCAGGTGCAATATGCACGTACCATACAATTTCATGGGGTAAAGTTATAATTATGGTAAAAGTTCAAAAAGTCTCATACTATTTCATAGAATTGAATGCTGGTTACAGTTGTTGTCGATATTGTTCTAAAAGCTGTTCAGTCAAACAATAACATGAAGCTTTAGGGGGCCTGAAATTGAAAATAGTGTCTGATAGTCTTGGAACTGTAGCCGAAAATGAGACTCCCATCCACCAGAAGTAATATAATCCTCTGATCTGCCGTGGCCGCATTCAATAGCCGATTCGGACCCCCTCCGTGTGTTCTAGCTCGATTCTGAGTTCAACTATTCAGCGTTATATCGGCCTGAGCTGCAATCCAGTTATGTGTGGCAAAAGGAAGTTAGTATTTTCATTCGCAAGTACTATATTGACATTGTGACCACGTTCCCGTTGCGCGGCTCCACGGAATTCAGTAGAATATACCTTATTTATCGATTATCTTGTTCATGTTATATTGTATATATTTAAGAATTGCTTGTTCTCGTTCTAAACATCGAGCTTTTGTACAATGCACAAGGTAATCTGGTGGATTCGTGTAGTGTTATTAAGTCTCATTTTGATAGTTCTCTTATTCAAATTTCTGATTATTTCTGAAATCTGAATAAACATATTGATCGTTATAATTGAATTAATACTATTTCAGAATATGAGTATGACGTAGAAATGTCGATACGTTATTCAGCTATTTATTTCCATTAGAATCTGTCTTCACTGAGTCTATTCAGAAACAACCAGAAATTTGAATAAGAGAAATGTACAAGGTAGTAAGTCATACCAGAAAGAATTATTTTAATTGGGCACTCAGTGACTGAGCTATTAAGGCCTACGTTTGCACACTGACTTTTGCCCCCCCCCCCCCCCCCCCCCTGGAATATCCCTGCCCTCAATCCGCATTAAGGTTTCTCAGTTTCTCTTTAGAGTTAGTCCCAACTTCCTTCAGTAACATAGACAAATATCTTTGTCTCTGTGATCTATCAAGCAAAGGTTCATGAGTCCATGATCGAGAGTCGAGACTGGCCAGTAGCTCAGGATGTCTGATGCAGTATCCAGCAATTTTTAATCTCCTGCTTCGTAATTTTTGTTTGACGGCCTTGATAGGCTAGCATACAAAGCAATTCAATGAAATGTGTCTTATTTCCCAGAGTATCTTGTTATATTTAGATATAATATTAAATATAACTAGATACTTGAAGAAATAAGGCCTATTTCATTGAATTACTAATAATATAAATATATTTAAGGATTTCGTTCTAAACATCGAGCTTTGCATTTGGTACAATGGATTGTATTCAATGGTTCTAGTAAACATATAGCCTCGCTATTCGCCTGTGGTTAGTTTAACTAGACTTCGATAATCGATATGTAGAGGGGGATCTATAAAGACTTACTCTGATGCTATAACATCCCGCGACCTGTCAACTCAGACGATAGAGTCTTTATTAACGGCAACCCTTTAGAAGAAGTTCATGACTTTAAGTACCTTGGATCCTTTATAGCCTCAACAAGCAGAGACATCAATGTCAGGAAAGGCCTCGCATGGAAAGCTTTACAGAGTCTAGATGCTTTTTGGAAATCTAATATGTCCAGGAAGATCAAGACTAAGATTTTTCGAACTGCAGTAGAACCTGTTCTGCTGTATGGTGCAGAAACCTGGACTCTTAAAAAGGCTGATATCAGAGCACTAGACGGTGTTTATACTAGAATGCTACGAAGGGTCTTTGGTATCTCATGGAAATCACATACACCTAACTCCGTTCTTTACGGAAAGATTCCATCGGTGACAGATACTATAAAGACACGAAGACTTCGTTTTGCAGGACATGTCTACCGTCTACAGGACCAACCTGCTCAACAACTCCTTTTCTGGCAACCATCCTATGGCCAGCGTTATCGAGGACGACCACATAAGACCTTCCCGGACGTCCTACTTGAAGACACTGGAATGGAACCTGACCAGCTGCGTTTACTCATGTGTGATAGGGATAAATGGAGAGAAGCGTTGACACGAAACTCGTTCCAGATTTCATCTGGATCGACCTAGGCAGGTAGGCAGGATAGTTTGTAATAGTAATAAGCCAAGATTTAGAATTAGAATTAGGACTTACGAGCTAGTAGTAGTAGATCTCTACCTCAGGCTACTTTCTTATCACTGATCAAGTGGCTACTATTGAGATAATAAACACGAAGAGACCTGTCTGATTGGAATCTGTGTAATACTAATAAAGTAATAAGTAATAACCTCCTTACAGTTACATTACTCTACAGGTTCTCTATATTGGACCTACTCCAGAGACTATTACTTCAAAATTTGGTATAAGTATATGTAGTAAATTTAAATTAAGATAGCATAGGTTTTCGGTCCCATATTTTCTTTAGCATGAGCCTTGGATAGAAGCCGAACTGCCAAGAAAGCATGGCTTGTAGGTATGGTCAAAGTTTAACCATCAGCACGAAACCCAATACAAACCCGATGCAATAGATTATACAGGGTGGCCCATGATAGTCTACCCATCCTTATCTCTTAAAATTGTTACAGGTCGCTGAGATCTTGCTAATTATTTTATTTCAGAATGGAAAAGCGCCATAACTTACGTTCTGATTAATATTTTTGCTTCAAATTTTTAGAGAATGTCAATCATAATTAGACACAACTTCGTGCTAAGTTTTGTGTGAGTCTGAGCTTGTCTGGCAAAATTAGCTCCTGAGTGCGCTAGCGTTAATTTCTCACCCAGAACTGTTTACATTGGTTAATAGAAACCACCAAAAAAAATCCTGGGTAAAAAAATTAAAAAACCACCGATTTATTTATGTTTTACCAATTCTATTCACCACGATGCATCGCACATTCCATTCTCTACACTGCTGTACAGTGTACATCCTATATTTTAACTGATAAGGACTATCACAGATGATCCTTCCTGCTTGTTTATATCGTTCTGCTCACTTGCCTTAACAAATTTAAAATTATAGCTAGATGATTAGCCTACAATTTTATCGATACTGAAATCAATTGAATTGCGTTTCTCGGCAGGCACCACGAGAAGGTTCATCCATTGCCCCGGCCCGCCGTGTTGGCGATTAAAATCACCGTTTGTGTTGGCGATTAAAATCACCGTTTGTGTTGGCGATTAAAATCACCGTTTGTGTTGGCGATTAAAATCACCGTTTAGAGAAGGTGCTCAATGTAACCACCGCCTCGGCTCTTCAGGACGTCCATCCTCTTGGCTACTGATAAACAGGAGTTCTGGCAGTGAGTGATGGGGATGTTCCGCAAGTTGTCACGAATGACAACTTCTAAAGCAGCAAGGTTGGGGATGGGTAGACTCTCGTAGACCTTATCCTTCAACCATCCCCACATGAAGAAGTCGCAAGGAGTGAGGTCAGGAGAGCGGGCTGGCCAGTGTTGAGCAAGTTTCTCTCCGATCGTCATGCTCCCAAACTGGTCACCAAGGTAATCAATAATGCGGTTGGGGATGTGCACTCTCGCCCCGTCCTGCATAAAGCTCATGAGAGACGG